CTAAAGGGGAACCGAAGGGGAAGTGCTTTGTGCGTCCCCCTTCGGGGAAGAGCTGCGATATCTAAAACAAATCGTAAACCGTTTTATTCTAGTTTAGTNTTAGAGATTAATAAAATCTATGGTTAAAGAAAAATTAGTTGCTGTGCGCGCAGCTTTTTTAGCTGCTATGTTAGGTGTTGTTGGTATTCTAGCGGTAAATCCCGCAGAAGCGTATCCCGTTTTTGCACAACAAAACTACGCAAACCCACGTGAAGCAAACGGTCGTATTGTTTGTGCTAACTGTCACTTAGCTCAAAAACCTGTTGAAATTGAAGTTCCTCAAGCTGTTTTACCGAATACAGTATTTGAAGCGGTTATTGAAATTCCATATGATAAACAAGTCAAACAAGTATTAGCTAATGGTAAAAAAGGTGATTTAAATGTTGGTATGGTTTTAATTCTTCCAGAAGGTTTTGAATTGGCGCCACCAGATCGTATTCCTGAAGAAATCAAGAAAAAAGTAGGTAATCTTTACTACCAACCATACAGTCCAGAACAAAAAAATATTTTAGTTGTAGGTCCAGTACCAGGCAAAAAATACAGCGAAATGGTAGTTCCTATTTTATCCCCAGATCCTGCTAAAAATAAAAACGTTTCTTTTTTAAAATATCCTATTTACTTTGGCGGTAACCGTGGCCGTGGTCAAGTTTATCCGGATGGTAAAAAATCAAACAACACTATCTATAATGCATCAGCGGCTGGTAAAATTGTAGCAATTGCTCCTATTGAGAAAAAAGGTGGTTATGAAATCACAATTGAAAAAGCAAATGGTGAAACTATTATCGATAAAATTCCAGCAGGTCCAGATTTAATTGTTAAAGAAGGCCAAAACGTCCAAGCAGATCAACCTTTAACAAATAACCCGAATGTAGGTGGTTTTGGTCAAGCTGAAACTGAAATTGTACTACAAAACCCAGCTCGTATTCAAGGTTTATTAGTATTCTTTAGTTTTATTTTAATTACACAAATTTTATTAGTTCTTAAGAAAAAACAATTTGAAAAAGTTCAATTAGCAGAAATGAACTTCTAATTTTATAATAACGTTTTTTGCTTATTAAGATAAAAATGTAGTTCTTACAACGAAAACACAAGTCTTGTGGTTTATCGTAGTTTAATGAGTAGCTCTAACCTAGTAAAGTTAAGCTAGGACGCTCTTCATCCCCTAAAGGGGAACCGAAGGGGACAACCAACGCACTTCTTTCACAATAAAGTCACAAGTAATCCGGCCTAGGCCAGAGGGTTGCTTGTCCCCTTCGGGAAGCCAAAACAGAGTGCACGCTAAGAGTACGTTAGTGGGTCTCTAAAGCCACAAGTTGTGCGAGCCAAAGACCCAAACGAACACGGGTTCCCAGTTAAACGACCTTGGTCTTCGCCCTCGTTGTTGTCCCCTTCGGTTATTCCCCTTTAT